ATATGACTCTCAAAATTTAGTCTTCTATTGAGGTATACACCCAGGTACCGCACTGTTTCAGCTAACTCAATACCTGAGAGAGTAATGGATGTCGTGTTATTTGCAGATTTATGCTTCTGAGCGGTCGCGATGGGGAGCAGCTCAGTCTTATCATCATTCAAGTTCGACCGTGCAAAAACACTTTTGAGAGAGTTGCACTGGCTGCAGGTGCGTGCTCGCATAGAGTACAAAATCGCAACTTTGTGCTACCGCTGCTTACATGACCTGGCGCCGTCCTATCTGAAAGAGCTGCTGACGCCTTATGTACCCACTAGAGAGCTCCGCTCATCCGTTAGTGGCAAACTCTCGACACCACGTGTTTGCCTTGAGACTTACGGAAAGCGCACTTTCGCATTTGCTGGTCCAACAATTTGGAACGCCCTTCCTGTCGATCTCAGAAACAACCAGACACTGGAGTCCTTTAAAACCGATTTAAAGACACATCTATTTCGCAAACACCTTCTGGGATGATTGTCTACCTTATTTTCCAGTTAATGCATAATGGCTGTGTTGCTTATGGTTGAAATGGCTAGAAAGACTTTGACATTGTTTGCTTGTAATTAGTTTTTGTAGTGTTGCGTTTGTTTTAAATGTGGTAAATTATAGATTTGTTTTTTATTGACTTTATACCGTGCTTCGAGCCTTTGGGGATGAAGCGTGTTTTGAAATGAACTTTATTATTATTATTACCGGTATTCAATTTGAGCTTATTTATGGTCATCCAGTGCTTAACTGACTCCACTGTCTTCTGTGTCGTGCTAAGAAGTTGAGGAAACTGAGAGGGGATCACGGATTGATGAAGTTGTATTTACATACCTATAAAGGTCTACAATATATAAAAGAATGAGCTATAGTGACATAACGCCAAAGGACAGATATGATTTAAGTACGTTCGGATTCCTAAAAACAATCAGTTATTTTCTATTATTTTACGGAAATCGAATAAATTTAAATGAGCAAAAAATATTTTAAATCCGCATAGATAGATAGACAGACAGACCAAAAGAGAGACAGATAGGTCGATTGATAGATAGATAAGATTTGATTGGATGGATGGATAGATGGATGAATGGATGGATAGATAGATGGAAAGACAGACAGACAGAACGCATCCATAAATAGTTGTGCAAAAGGTATCTTTTATTCTGTAAACTATATTTATACCTATAAAAAAATTAATGTATGTATGTAAGCCGCGTTCCCGCTAGTTTTAATAATAGTAAGTCTTAAATATTTTCAATCTGTTTTCAAATTATAGTTCATTGTAAAAGGTTGACTAAAAAATAGGGATAGGTGTTAATTACAAATTGTATGATGGCATCATGCTTTTCTAATTTAGAATTTAAAGGGAGCATACAAGAAGCGCGGGTTTCATAAATTATTATTAAATAAAAAGTGTTTTTGTTCTTTAAATGTGCTACTTTTGTTACAAAGTTTCCTAAATAACAGATTTTTTTTTCATTACTTATTAAATATAGGCTCGTTAATGAAAAAAAATCTATTATTTAGGAAACTTTGTAACAAAAGTTAATATTATTAACTTTCCGACTGCTTTATCTTTTTAGTGTCAGAATAATAAACAAACTGCCCCATCTATTGGCACTGCACTCATTTTTTTATAATATAAATTTTTTTAAAATGAGAATTCAGTAGAAAGCTAAGAAAAAAGTTTTTGTAAACTAGCATTTCGATTGTCATGCAGATTCCATTTTTTGGTATGTGTTTAAAAGAAAAATTCATATTCCTAAGCAATTTCCGTTTTGCCAACCCATCACATCTATTTCGCAAACACCTGCTTGGGTTGATGTTGTCTAGATTGTTTCATTTCTCTTTTAATAGGGTTGACTTTGTGCCGCGCTTCGAGCCTTAAGCGACACCTAGATCTTTAAACGGGTGACTGGGTGGCCAAATGGTCTAAACTGAGCAAACCTCAAGTTGGTGGTCTGGTGTTCAAGTCCAGCCAAAGGCCAGTCAAGCAGAAACATCACCCCGGGTGGATGAGACTCGTTAACCTTGGTCGGCAACTCATCTAAGAGAAGGAAACTCTGAATTCAAACCCGGAGTTGGAGTCCCGTAAGGCGCAAACAATGACAATTCCTGCAACCGAACCCATCCCTGGTCGTCTTGACGTAGAGTCTTGCCACTGGATATGGTGGGCTCGGACGGCGCAACTCTTCTTCACTTTAAAACAAAGTCATCCGCGCAAGTCATCAGTGTTACAGAGAGCTTGTTTACATCATATTTTCTCGTGCGTGCCTCTGATTGACCCCGCATGAGACGCTGTGTTCACTAAGGGGTGTGGCTTAGGCCTTTGAAGTAACTTGTTGACGCCGCCAACGAATAAAAATAATTAATCTGTTCCAAATAGTATTTGGTAGAATGATTGGGATTTTTCTCGAAATGTCTCGAAGGCAGGGCTTGGGCGTCGGTAGACCCACCTATATAAGGGATTGACAGGCACGGACGAGGGACGGAGATTTCAGATAGATTTTCTTAACATTACGAGGCGTGTTTTATTCTTTGTGTATTTGTGTGCTCCTACTTATATGTGTTTATTTCGCATTATTTATTGGCATCATTATTTCTAATTGTATTAACTGTGTACCGGTACGACATCTGCCATACTGTAAGTTGAAGATTGTAATTTTATTTTATTTTATTTTGTAATTATCTTAAGACATAATAAATCTTATTAATTGTAACTAGAAACTGTTTTGGGTCGTATCCTTAATATTGTTGATTCTATGGTATCGTCCTTTGTTAGGCACTGTATACAACGAGCCAATTAAAATTAAAATAGGAGATTACTTTCTCCCAATACAAGTCAGTGCGTAACATCAGTCACCAGACGACTCGATGGTCCTCGTCGATCCTCGACGGACGAACAATTAAAAAAAAAAAAAAACCATCTTTAAACTAGGTTCTCTTCCGTTGCTCTCCAATTATTCTAAGTGTAGAATGTTGCAAAACTAAATTCAGATATGTGATGAAATGCATTTTTGTATTTTGAATTTATAAAAAAAAATTGGGGGCTATAATGATTTAAGGGGCGAGAATAATCTAGGCAACAGTGTACCCTCAAGGGTGACACAACCAGAGTGAATTTAGTTTACGTCCCACTGGTACGGAATTTAAGATGTCTTTGGTCATTATTTTGCTAATTTTGGCGCTTTCCACTTTAAAGTTTGAAATGCCACCTCAAAATTGAACAAGTGCCCTCGATTTCCACCCTACTTCTTGATGAAAATGATTGCCGATTTCGGTATCGATAGACTGCCTAGTGGCGTAGCTATTATTAGTGCTGCCATGAGCAACCAAATATATTTGCTGTCCTCCATTTCACGATACAAACTCTGCAGTTCTCCAAATATTCCACACATGCGTAAATAAAAAGTGACACCTGGGTGGACCACTCCATTCACCCTATTTCCACGACACTAGCAGGGAAGTATCTATAGTATTTGGCATCAGGGGGACAAGATTCATTTTTACGCCCCCCTCCAACTTAGAAACCCATTATTTTCAACCATTAAATACCATCAAAGCCCATTTTTGCCCCCCCTCCCCTGCTAGTTTGGCGCCCTGGGACGTATTTCCCATCTGCTACCCCTTAGCTCCGCCTCTTGCCACCAACAACTGGCACTGTTGATTTTATTACGGTACCTTTTTTTTTTTTCCACCTTAGTTCATCAGAAAAAGGTGTCACCAGTCTGAAATCATCCTATACTATAACTCATAAGGTGGTGCCCTCCTTCCATACTAGCTAATGGCACTGGGTCATGTAGCCTATTTAATTATTATATGTTAGTTAAGAATATGATGGCAAAGCAGTCCTAATACCATGGTTGGAGAGTCCATTAAAAAATATGACATAAAAAAATTAGGACATCTATTAAAAATAAGAGACATTGTCCTACTGGCTTTTGAAGTTTAAAAAAAAAATGTAATTCTAATTAGCAGTAAATATAATATTTGTTTCTTGCTTCCTTTAAACTTTAATGATGATAAGTGATAAGCAGGAATAATAAAACAAAATACAAGAATTTCATTTTCATACACTAAATTATTGGATTTTGAGTCAGCAATATTTTTAGCAAAGATTAACATAGTTTACTAGATAACTTGACATAGGCCATGGATAATTCAATTGTTTATTATAATTTAATATACAGTAATTGGTTTTTTTTTTGCTCCATATTTTTAGCAAACTAATATTAAAAACTTGTCTTTAAAAATTGAGTTGTCAATTTAAAATTTCTAAGTCGGTAAATTTCATTTGATGGCGATGGCAATGCTACCTAATACACATATTTCTTAAAATTTGATATAAATTCAGCATTTCTCCATCTGACCTTCACATTCTATATTAAACTTAAACCACAGCATTATGTAAAAGAGGCACACAAAAAGATGTAATTACTTTAAATTTGTGTACAATATCTAAGGCTGTGTGAAATAACTTTAAATAAGTTATACAATATCAATATGAGCTATCAACAGAATAATCAATAATGTCAAAAAATAAACAAACGAAACCATCAAAAGGCTTGGGTTACTTTATAGCAGGGGTCCTCAAGATACACCCTGTGGGCCAGATGCGGTGAACATTCACTACCCAGTAACTCTTGAAATAAGAGATAAACATTCAATGACATGTCTAGAGACTTTTACATATCACATTGAGTACAAGTTTTATACATTATATCCAAACATAAGAGTTATTTAAAACCATCTCAATTTTACACCTATTACCTGTGCAACTTTTTTTTATTTTTATTAATATTCAAAAGCCAAATGATTTGTCAAAAAAGATCATTACATATTATGAGCAACATGGCAGATTACTGCTGGATTTATTGCTGCAATCATAATACAGACACAGTATACAGATTGTATAAAACAAGATTGTCCCAAAGTAATTCAATTTTTTTAATGCAACTTTTCAAGCATAGAAATAAAATGTCTAAGTAAGTATACAAAAAAAAAAGGCTGCCAAACAAGGTTGAAATACAATGATTTTCTTTTAAAGTTAAAGTAAAAGCATCAATAAAATTTTATTGTATATGGAATATAATATTTTGATGATTAAAATCAAAGCCTCAAGCCATGAGATCTAAGAACTATTGGCAGTTGTCATTTCTTCTAGTAGTGTAGTGGTTAAGTCAATCATTTGATCAACTACAGAAGCAATAGCTTCCATGGAGAAGATTTTGTGCATCAATTTTAAGAGTTTTAAATGACTCACTTTATGATATGCAAATAGTGACCAAAAAAACTTGTAAAATATTAGAATAATGTACTAAATGGATCATCATTAATGAACAGGTCAATATACATGAATAAACTCATTACAGTTGTGAACAAACAACTTGCTTCAGCATAAAACTCATTGTAGTCAGCAATATTTTTAGCAAAGATTAACATAGTTTACTAGATAACTTAACAGCTTTATTTGTAGATCTTCCGGATTTGATTTGTATAAATTTAATTTAACTTTTGGAAGGACATGGGTATTTTAAAGGTGGAAGTTGGTATTACAATTATAGAAGATAAACATATTGTAAATAAGACAATTATTTAAAAATTTTAACACTTCTTCTTGGTCATTTGTGGTAGGTAACGAATCAGACAGGAGCATTCACCTTGTACAATAACATTTTGTATGAAAATGTTACTCTTTCTGTTATAACTAATTACTTGTAAAATAAATGTGTTCAAATGAATCTTTGGTTTTTCAAATATTTCATTTTTAAAAAAAGCATGATTAGAGGACTTATTTGTTTTGTGAAGCTATATTTAACTTGGAATATCTGTCTCAATTAACAGAGCGCTGAAATTTGGTGATCAGCTCATATGTTTAACTGTATACGTGATTAAAATTCTGTCTTTCTTTGTCAAATAAATATGATTTCAGGGTATGTCACTAAAATTAATTGAACATTAGAAAATGTATGAATTTTTATAAATTTAAAAAAATTACAAACAGAAAAGAAAAGTGAATACTAGTAAATATCGTGAAACTTCTTGTGTGTTCAGATCTATTTGTTTCAAAAATGCTTATGGATTGCACCAGGATATTGTATGAGTTGTCACCAAGTAAAAAAAAAAGGAAACTAGTGAATTACTTTATCCTTATACTGTTTACTCTCTGCAAATATCGATGTTTACATTAAAATGTTACAATCAGACAGTGGAATGAGGAAATGTTAATGACTGACTATAAATAAATTTACACTATAAACTTAACAATAAAGTAAAATAAATATTATTTATAAGTTAGTAAAGTATAATAAGTAAACAAATTGAGACAAGAGCACTTCAGGTCTCATCAACAAAAATGGTACCGGTACAAGGAAATAATGATGGGTCTCAATACGGGACAAGTTCTCCTAATTCCATCTCCTTTATGAAAAATTTGATTGTTTGTTCTTCAAAATATTACGAAAAATATTAAAAAGATCACTAATGAAGTGTGATGTTTTCATAATCAATACTTCCATCTTACATGAGTCACTTATGCAACATGGGGCAAGGAATTATTAAAATTTTATGATTACAGATCTGCAACTTCCCACTGTAAGTGTAAGAGACTGTCTCTTAACATTTTTTGCTGGTACAAAATACTTCTGCTAGGATATTTTTAAAATTCTTTATACACCATGATGCATATGATTGCATCCAATGTTACCCAGTCTTTATACGACGACGTTGCATAGGCTTTGTTTACAAAATTTACATTTAAAACTGAAACCAACCAAATTCTAAGTTAATTTCAAACAACAATATATTTTACAGTAACTATTGTAAGGTTACTTTAAAATAACATGGTAATAACATAAATGTGAGTAAGATCAACTCAAAACAACCAAATCTAAGTAGCTAAGCTCTATAAAAATTAAGTATTTCAGAAATCTGTTGTGTATACATATCTTAAAATATTCCCTTCAAATCCCTTAATACAATGGTTCTCAACCTGTGTCGCACGGCCCTTTCCCAGGGGTCGCCTAAGACCATCTGAAAACTTACAGTTATAAAGTATCAACAAAATAATTGTGTGGTTGGGGGTCGCCACGACATGAGGAACTGTATTTAAAGGGTCGTGGCATTAGGAAAGTTGAGAACCACTGCCTTAATAGGATACATTTTTTTTTAATGGATCAAAAGTGATATTAATTATTCATATTAGCTAGCCACTAGTCCTACTACTATTATAATTTACTTTTAATAACAATTGATTTTATTTTTTTGTATATTGTAACCAATTTACCCTGAATTTTTTTTTGATGAAACAAAGACCCAAAAGGGTATTCTAATCTTTAAAATATTCATATAAAACATAAACGTACAAGTTTTCAACGCTTATATACAACACTTAAAAGCTAATCGGAAAATTTATAGTTATATAAAAATTAACACCTAAATTTAAATCAATGGAATTTAATCTTGTTGTGATTTCACTAGCTAATAATGAATTATTAGTGGCAAAATAAACTTCATATTTTTTACAGTCTAATGCATATGTAGTTAGTAGTAGAAAGACAGGTGGCTAATGGTTTAAGAAGTGTGGAGTTTTTCTAAAGATCATAAATAAGAAAAAAATATTTGAAATCTTCCATCAGATTATTAATCCTAAAACCAAAAGTTTTTTTTTATAGCAGTCCAAAAACTGACAAAAGAAATGATTTAAATTTTTAAATATAGAAATATATATCAGTATCAGATGTGGTAAGCAAAGTTAGGCAATGCATTTAAAACTTAGCTTAAAATTACAGTAAATCTAGCACTGAATTGGTAGTAAAATATTGACACTGTAACAAAGAAAAAATTAATGATCTACTGCAGACATGTTTGAGTACCAGGTATCACATAATTAATAATAGTCAGTGATGTAGCCATTGTCTATTCCATACATTCCTCGCCAGGACGCAGAGCAGTGACAGTGTAATCTGCCTGAGACTGGACTAGGTTTTAGGCCACTTAAAGAAGACATTTTAAAAAAACAATTAAACATGGTATAAGTATGATTTTAAGCTGATCAATAAACATAACCACAAATACTTTTTAATTTATGCTCTTCAGGATGACGCAGAATGGATGTTACGGAGGAGGGCTCCGGTCCTGACTTATAATATAAGCTATTTTGACTCAGTCGTGTTAGGACAGGACCACTCCTCTCTGTGATTTATATTTTGGGTATCTTTGCATTGAGGCAGACAAAAGCTCAACGTAGACTTGAATCAATCCACACAAAAAAACAACACCTCCAGATGATAAAATAGTATTTATTTAATACTACTAATATAAAAAGCTTTCCTGTAATTCTGAATAATTTTCAACTATCTCTATGTTTCTATAACTGTATGTCTTCATGTTATACTTTAGGTTGACTTTCTTAACTTAACTCTACTTAACCCATTCAATCCCAGTCACTTGGAAATTTTTATGCTCTGAATTCCCAGCCAGAGGGAAGTAACTCTGCACTTAGCACAGGTTGTTTCAGGAAAAAATTAATAACAAATCTATCTTGCCACATAATTACATGAAAGAAAGTGCATTGTATTCAGAAATGGTTGTTCCATATGAATAATTATCATTGGATCATTTTGTATGTAAATGATTTGTGTAAGATAAAATTAAATGACAGAATTACAAAAATGAGGAACAAAATTGAAGGGAAAAAAATTGTTTACCTTACAAGAATTTATGTTTATTTTAGTTAAGATGATTGTGAAAGGCTGCTAAGCAGTGTCCTTTAAACAAATGAACTTTGCACAGGAGGCCACTATTTGATGTTTCTATGGGTCTATATGTAGGGGTCTTTCGCTTAGCTCTTGACCATTCATAGCATGTTTCTTCTTGCCATGCAATCTACTTGGCCGATGCATTGTGTGGTCAGCTGTGGTAGTGCAAGTGGCTGCAGGGCTGTCATTTGCAGTACAGTGCCTTGCAGATGATCCAGCCATGAGCTGCTGCATTAGCTCAAGGCGAAAGTCCAAATGTGTCTCTGATTTTTGGCCAGGATGGCGTTGAGTGAATTGTTTTTTTGTACACAATGAATGCGTTGATTGTGGCAACCTGAAGCAGAAACCATAGGAGATCTCCACCATTTCCTACTTCTGCCAATAGGGTAATAGGATCTTAACTGGTTATGGAGATCAACACCACACATACCCTTGTTGTAATTTTAGACATGGATATCAACAAACCCAGCAGCAGTGTTTCGCAGTGTTGTTGACTAAGTTGGCTGCGAATTTGTCGACAAAACTTGAACTGGCCTTTTGTCATGAAAGAAACATGCGACAAGGTTTCCAATTGGCCTAAATCGCACTTCCAATTCAGTTGCTGATTTTTTTAGCTTCAGGTTCTTTAGTTCCTTTGACTAACCTTTGCGAGAGGGTCTAATAGTCGCACATGCATATGTGCCCCGCTGAAATAATTGCTTGGCAAGCTTGATACTAGTTAAATAATTTTCATGGAAGAAATGGTGATGGTTGTCAAGATAAGGCTCACCCATTGTAAAGACAACATGATATCCCAGGCCATTGGGCATATTTACAGCAGATTTCCAAGTAAAAACATTGAAATTAAACAAATAACCCCTATGTGGATCAACAGCACACCACAATTTAATGCCCCATGGAGAAGTCATATTTTTAATGCATTGTTTGAAAATTAAACATCCTGTATAAGCCACCCTGGCTTCATCAATGGAAATCTCCTTCTCTGGATTCATACTTGTCAGGGGGTCGAACGACCCTTACACAGGGGTTGCTTAAGACCATCGGAAAACACATATTTATGAAGTAGCAACGAAAATAATTGTATGGTTTTGGGTCACCACAACACGAGGAACTGTTTTAAAAGGTCACTGCATTAGGAACGTTGAGAACCTCTGGGTTAACATAATCATCTAAACTGGTCGACTGCCCTCTCTCAATGTCCCCAAACCTCTGGCTTATATCTAGCACTTGCGAATGACAAACAATCCAACACTTGAATCCCACGGTTATTGACTCGCTACATTACTAGATAATATATTTTCCAAACCAGATCTTTTATCCCTGACGATACTTAATTAAACTTACACTACTCATGGTCTGCAAGGACATTCCTCATTTAACTACAAAACCCATTTCTCTAACCCAGGGCTGCACAACTCAAAATGTAAGGCGAGCCGTAATAATTTGTGCGGGCTGAAAGAAAATAGGCAGGGGGGAAGCTATTAAGAAAATAATACCCGGTAATCAAAAAGAATATTTTGTTACTTCGGGGGCCACAAAGTGGGTGCTTGCGGGTTTATGCTGTGCAGGCCTGCTCTAACTCATTCATTATACCCTTTCCCCTTAGCGATCACCTGATCTACCTTTGACCGGCTTGTTTCCAGTATATGTCTTCCCTATATAATATAACCCATCATTAAATGCCAAAGTCGACTCCTCTCTAACCTATTGTATCTTAGTCCGGTACCTACGCCTGTTGTTTTCATGTACAGCCTTCGTTCTATGTGACACAGGACATAGCAGTAAAAGCAAATCCACATCTCTTAATAAAACAAAAATTATGATTTTCCCAATAGGTGGTTAGCACCAAATGTGATTCATTTTCATCACAGTGAATGGTGATAGGAACAGCTACAGCTGAAATGATAGTCCAGCAACAGCTGAATAATGATAAGACCAACAACAGCTGAATAATGATAAGACCAACAACACATGAATAGTGATAAGATCAGCAACAACTGAATAGTGATAAGATCAGCAACAGCTAAATAGTGATAAGACCAACAACAGCTGAATCGTGATAAGACCAGCTATAGGTGAAATAGTGGTATAACCAGCTACAGCTGTTAGGAGACTAAGGGAATTTTAATATTATTAGCAAAAAGAAATGAATTGTAAATACCTGCAGGACAAAAACGCACATGTCCTCACACTATCTCCATAGTCAATATCCTGAGGTGCAGATACAGGAATTGGACTGGATGCATACTGGGTTGTATCAGGAAAAAAATCAGAATCCATTGTATTCATAGATCCATTATCTTCAACTGAGCTTCTGGGTAAAAGAAAAGATAAAAGCTTTAGGTCAACTTCTCCACAGCTGGTAATTGAAGTATCCTACCGTGGGCTGGCAGCAACTTTGATGTTCAAACTTTTACAGACTATATAGAAATTGTAACAGAAATATTTCAAGCATTTTAAACTTATTTTGTTTACCAATAATTTATATAAATAGGCTGAAATGGCGAAACGAGGTAGGCCCTATGTGGAAGCTTGAAATAAAATAACAGGACAAAAAACAAGGACGTTTCGGCATAAAGAATTCCTCAGCCAACAATGGAAATTTATATTTATATTTTCATTTCCATTGTTGGCTGAGGAAGGCTTTATGCCGAAATGTCCTTGTTTTTTGTCCTGTTATTTTATTTCAAGCTTCCACATACCTCGTTTCGCCATTTCATTCTTTTACTAAGCTTGAAAGCAGTCCTTTCATTTATTTATAAATAAGCTACAGTATACAAGTTTCCATATTTATAAATTATACTCCACAGTGTATGAATGTACATTACTGGTACCCAAAACATATGTCCACTATATTGACCACAACATTGTAAACACCAAAAAACTATTTTTTTTTTAAAAAGTAGACCCCTCTCTCACTTCTATTTCTTTGTAACGTTAATAATGGAATATCTTTATTAAAAGTAGAAGTGGAAATTTTAAAATTATTTTTCGGCTTGTCATATCAATACTGATATATTTAAAATTCAGAGACAAACCTATGTAACCCTGTCAAGTGGATGTCTGTCAGATGATTATTGTTACAGCCATCAACTCTCTTATTATCATCAACATTTTGCATAAGATCTTTCTCTTCTTCCATCAACTCATCATCACATGACCAGACAGTCTACAACAAACAAAAATAGATGTTGCCCATCATTTATTAAGCACATCGCTTTGATCACATCACATATTAATTACGGTATTTATATTGCCTATCTGACTTCCTCAATAAGCTAACTTGAAAAAAGTCTTGTGCAAAACAAATAATCATGGTGTATCAAAGCCCTGTATAAAATGAAATAAAGTTGATATTAAGGAACTTGTGAAAGGAGCTGCCTAAATAAATAAACTACATATTTCTTTATATAATGGGTATTAAAATTAAATTCATAAGACCCCTAATGTCCACTACATCCACCATTAGAAGTATAACTTCTAGTAGTAGTACCGGGTAGGTTAAAATTGGTTGATTACATAATTTAGTTCTATTTTTTTAACACTTTATATCCATGCATTGGCTACATATATTATTATATGACTGCAGCTAACATAATTAACCACTAAATTATCTCTAATTACATCAAAATCGCTACCGTATCGAATTCATAATTTGGCACTTTTTTTTACAATATTGCAAGTGAACCGTGTAAAACAAACAAACTGAGTTTTAAAAACATAGGATTAAATAATTTAATCAAAATAAAATTTCTACATCCCTGAGTTAACTACTGATTCCATTACCTCTGATACTGCTGTGGGGTTGTTATTGTTCAAACTAGAAGTATTTTCCTGCTCCCTGTGCTGTATGCAAGATAAAAAATGTAGAGCTAAATTGTTGCTACCCATGTTACGAGGCAGTGGTACAGCTGATGACGAGGAAGCAGATGAGTGACATGAAGATGAGGAAAAATTTGACGTTGATGACAGTGATGATGTTAATGATGAGTCTTTTAAGCAACCTGGTGATGTGTCCTGCTAGAGAAATAAAGAATAAAACAAAGTAAACAGGTTAAGATAATTGTCAGGCTCTAAGAAAAGATGACAACTTGAGATAAAAGCTGAGTAAAAGTTCAAGAGAAATTTAAATAAATTTGAAATTTTTAAAATGCTTTATTTTTGTTTCTATCTGCTAAAAATAGGTCAGTGAAGCCAAAAGAAAGATGACAAGATATTTATAAACATATATGTAAAAATTATATATTAATTTTCCATGCCATAAATTAATGTTTTCAAATCTACTTGACTATTGCAACTTAGAATTTCAGTTAGTTTAGATATAATTTGAATATTTCAATGCTGAACATCTCAATTGGATTGAAATTTTTATAACACAATCGAATTGTTTTCTTAATATTTATTTTGTCAAACAACTTTCTCTCAATATTTGTTTAATTTAAAAGAAATGCCCAATGAAACTTTCAAAATTGTATTAAGGTAAAATACAGAGCCATCATAAGTTTTAGAAATTACGTTCAATTTTGTAAGTTAAGCATGTTGCAATCTGTGAATATCTACCTAATCCATACATGGGTGTCCTTAACTTATTATTTAATTTATATTAACTTAAGCTGAATGATGTGGTAAGACTTATACTCCCTTAAGATGTAGTTAATAGACTTACATCTCCAAAATTTTCAATGTGATGATGAGATGATTTTGTTGACCAAAGACATTTTCTCTTAGGAAAACTCACTTTCGGTTCATACTGGGCCTGGAAAAAGACAGGTAAGCAACTACTGGTATAGAACAGAAACTTTAAAAAAATAACAAAAGTTCATAACAACATACCCGGTACAATACTATACTATATTGGTACTATTAACTGTTGCAAGGAGATCCAAATAAAGTCATAATTAGTTGACTCTGGTATAGGTCTCAAGTTACATAGTTTCTTAACTCTCTTACTGTGGTCGGCCGACGAAATCGGCCGATTTATTCTCGTCCTGTTCTGTGGCAGCCGATTAAAAACACGGTCCGATAGCAACTTCCAATACAATATTTAACAGGGATTATAGCCACTTCCTTTTATTAATAATTAAATCATCTTCCGGGTCAAGCTGTTTCTTCAAACTTAAAAATAAGTACTTTTTAATCTGAGTTTTTTTTAATGCTAACATGGTTGAAGATATGGCTGGGCCTTCAGTGTAAGAACTAATATAAATATTTTTGAAAGCGTTTTAGGAGAGGATTTAAGTGATACCCGGTACTGATGATGATTTTAACATTCCCCATGATGATATTTATTTATTTATTTAGGCATTTTTATATAGCGCTTTACAATTATTAAAAACATGTAAACTAAGTAAATAAAAATGAGACACTAGGATAGTAACTACTATACTATAGAAACAATGAAAATGGCTATAAAACGAGGACACTTTGACACTTCAGGATCAACCCGAAACAGAAAATGAGGTAGTGCAAGGAGGGTGCATCACAGGTCATAGGCGGACCTAAACAGATGAGTTTTAAGTTGAGATTATTCTTCTACTATACTACTGAATCGTATACTTGTCTTAGTATTACTGAAGGAGGCCTACTGAGGCTAGTGTTAACTTCGAGCCAGGCCCGGAAGTTGGGCAAGGACTGACTGAATTTTAGTCACAGACGCTACAGATGATAGATCAGAACTAATAATAAATTTTATAGTTAAACAACCCAAATCAGCTCCAAAGTTCCTTTTAAAATGTTTACTAGTCAATAACTATTTTGCCTGAGATTTTGTATTTTGCACTTGGTTTTAGCTGTGGTCCCAGTTTCTTATATAAATTATCTTAAATTACTAAAATTGCTTTCAGAGGTTTAATTGTAATCAAAACCTTAGCAAACTATACATTTTCTGAAAGATAAAAAATTGGCTACAACATTTAGATTAGTATTTTATGTGTATCTATAAAAATTAATTATGTTATGAACACTTGAAAGCAAGAAATTTTTTCGATTTTTTTTTCTTGAGCACTCCAAGGAAAGGACCATGAATAACAAATTTTTACGGGGTGGGCAATATAGCCAACTTTATCCCCATCCATTTACCTTTCTAAAAATATATACTTATTGGTGTCTTGCATCAATATTTCTATGTCATTTAAAGCAATTTCAAAAGGCACTCAAAAAACTCTGAAAAGCATGCCACAGTTCGAGGGTTAATCTCATTAGTCTTAGTAAAACATAAAAATGATTAGCTATTTTCATTTTACTATCAACAACTCAATACCTTACAATCTCCTGACTCTGATAACTCATGAATATTTCTTTCTCCACAAAGATCCATATCCATCTTACGCTTCTGACAATGACTTTTAAATATTATGTCACCTGAACCACTACATTCAAACCCTTCAAGGATCTGACTGTGTGAGAGAGGCATATTTCTTCAGTATAAGTCACCAGTTCTTCTCCGTCTCTGAGCTGAAATAGTTATTGAAAAAAATGCTATGGTTATATTATAAACAAATCTAATGCGGGTACTAAATACTTTAAATAGTGTTACATGTAAATTTTAGGGTAATTTTCTTTTACAATTTTGTGAGGCCATAATTACTGGAAATGCTAAATTAACTAAATACATTTCTATTATTATTATTGCTTGTTATTAACAAAGATGATAGGACTTGGACTTAAATTGAGATTTAGCTTTATACTTTGTGATGTGATGATTACATCTTTTAATCTTTTGGACTTAGGATTATAGCTAATGATTAGTATTGAATAATTTATAACATATAACTATGACATAACAGATAACATAATAAACACTAAAACCAGGACATTTTAAAATCATGAAACAATTATCCTGATGAGCCTGATGCCAATTTCATTTCGATTAAGTATAATTATTCTTTTAGGTCTAGGTGGGTCAATCATTTATGCCTAGAATATCAGATCATGTAACCTGCTGGATCTTTTAATAAATTACAAAATTTAAACTTTTTACAATTTTATAATCTTAACTGTAAGTAATGGCTAGACTCTAATGGTTTCAGTTTCAGCTCAAGAAAAACTAGGCCAAACTAATCACACTAAAAAATAAAGTCTGAAAAGCTAACCTTAACTTAACATAACTTAGACTTAGATTTACTTAGAAGTAGGCCCTGCCCTATAATCTATATTATACATTAATATAGTGTGAGTAACTGTAACTCTGAAAATACATACTTAATTGTAGGTCTACTTTTATTTACCGTACCAACTTACCGGTAGCCGGCATAATAATCAATGACGGTGATTCTCAAACGTCAAAAAATTAAATAGGGAATTATAGTAGACTATACAGACTATTGTGACTAAGACTAAGTCTAAGTTACCATGACATGTCTAATAATTTAATCCAGTATTTTTTAAATCGTTTTTTGACCATTATAAATAAATTTAAAATAGCATTGTTCCGAATCTGAAACAAGCAATTTGAGAAGGCCTAATTATTTTTAATGAAAATGTCTCGAGAAGACTTTACACTTTAAAATTTTAATCATTGTCATTGATCATCGCTTGTAATATTTTGTAATGTTAATATTAATCTTAAACTTCTGTATGTCGCCAACTAGGCCTAGTGACTAGACTTAGACTCATTCAATTTCAACATTTCTGGATCAAGTCTAAGTCTAATAAGTTAATAAGACAAATTAAGTTTTCATTGTTACTCAATAACAAAACATTTATGACTTACGTTAAGTAAAAGTTACTTACCTGTAGAGTTCTTATTATGTAAATCTCACCTTCTCCTCCCTCTAACCCTGCTGCATTATAATTAACTTTTAACGCTTGAAAGTTTTAACTATCAATTTGAATATTTTTGGAAGTCTATTTTTATTTTGGGTTCGACGCCTAGGCTTATTGTTCGCTTTATTCGCTTATAAGCTTAGCTAGAGTCGATATGTGTTGTTTATTTACATTTTTTGAAAGTATTCGATTCAAAAAATATTTTTATTTAAACTTATACTATTATTTTTAAAATTTACAATACAATTATTTAATGATTTATACCATTTTAAATCATTTGTTTTGTTTATATTTGTAAAAGCTTTAAGCGATTTTATCTTCTGAAACACATGAGGCACTAATGATGGGGTGTTAAATTATCTTTAAATCCAAATTGCAATATTACTAGTATTGAGAACATTTTTTTTATTTTAAGTCACTCCATTCTGATAAATCTTTCTCCGATCCTCCCAGGCATGAGGCGAAGAAACAAAAATGGGGTGGTGTAGCCGGTACATGGTTCCGGGGGTCCAATGGAGGTCAAAGAGGGGAGGGGGGCAATGTAGTAGGAGATTATTATTATTATATTTTTTTTACAGAACAAAATTTTTAAAAAGAATAAACAGTCTTAGATATATACTTCATAATCCATACCTTGTGTGTTTAGCAAAACCGAATTGCAGCTGTTTTATATCAACCTTGTTATTAAAGGTCATACTAGCTTTTCTAAAACATTTCTCAAAAATATACTATAAGACAAGGGGTCGGGAACGTTTTTTGTCTGAGAGAGCCATGGACACCACATATTTTGAAAAGTAATTCTGCGAGAGACATAAATTATGTTTAAAACTAAAAATTCAAGTAAATGTGTGCAGTTTGTGTAATTTCAACACTAAAAATGCAATAATTATGTCTCTGAATTCTTTTTAATAACATTGGTATGCTGTTGCTAATCAATAATGAGTATTTCTTACCATTAATGACTTCTGGTGCTGCATGGCTTTGCAGTTGGCTTTGTAGTCTGGTTGATACGTGGTGAGGTTAAGCTTTCTGCATGATTTGAGATTTCCATCCTTTAAACGTGATCGCAGGTTGGTCTTAATGTTCTTGAGATGTGAGAAAGACTGCTCGTATGCATACGTAGAGCCAAACATTGTCAGTACAGCCATACTCACACGCTGCAGTGTGTCGTATGTGACGGGAAGCGCGCTCCAAGTTTTGACAATCAGCTGGTCTGCGTGTCGAATTTTTTTCACTGTGCCCACTTGTGTTGGCTCGCCAAATCTCCTTGCTGTCCTGCAAGTCTTTCCAAATCTTCATTCAGTAACTTGAACTTATTCAGCCACATGTCTGAGGCCTTCAGGTTAGCAGCTTGAAGTTCAAAATATCTGACGGAGACACAGGGGAAGCAACTCATGTCAGTGTTGTCAACTGCACACTCTTGTGAATGGGTGATGAACTGAAAAAAACGGGTGTGCTCGAGAAATTCTCCAAAGCGCGCTTTAAATGACTGCAGGAGATTAGACGTGAAGCCTGCTAGCTGCTGAAGATTAAGATGTTGAGCAGGGTCACTTGAGGTGCACGTATCTTTGAACTCTCCCAGTTTTTCAAAGTGTAGTAAACGACCTGTTTCAATGTCGGTGATGAAGAGTTTTAGCTTGTTTTCAAATGCAAATACTGCTTGTTGCAGGGATAAGATTGTATTTCCAACGTCTTGCATTTTCCCATAGAGCTGATTTAGATGTTCAGTCATTTCTACGAGATAATAGAGCTTCAAGAGCCACTCAGTGTCAGCTAACTTGGAATTCTCGACATTCTTCATTTCAAGAAAAGTCCGGATTTCTCTCAGACAAGCCGCAAATTGGCTGAGCACCTCCCCCCTTGACAATCAACGGACGTTGCTGTGCAGAAGCAGACCAGGATAATTATTACCAACCTCATCAAGCAGTGTCTCTACTGGCGATCATTTAATGCTCGGGCAACAATAAAGTTGACTACCAGAACCACCAGTGACATCACCTCACCAAGCTGCTCGCCACACATCTCAGCATGAAGTGCCTCCTGATGTAGGATGCAATGAAAGCTTATGATGTGTCTGTTTTCATGCTCACAAAGAGCGACAAATCCTCTGTGTTTCCCCATCAGTGCACACCGAAACAAGTTTATCCATCGGTAGATTTTTTTCTCTAGCGAACTCAGTGAAAGACTCGAATAAATCCTGCCCTCTTGTTATGCCTTTCATAGACAAAACACCAAGGCTTTCCTCATGTCGTGTATCACCGACTACATACCTTGCAACCACGCTGAACTGGGATAAATTACTGACGTCTGTTGACTCATCCAAAGTGAGAGAAAAAAACGGTGCCGCATTTATGTCTTTCACTTGCATTGCCTCAATTTGATTTGACATCATGATGCTACGATTGTGAACAGTTCTCGCCGACAGAGGCATGTCTTTTATCCGTTTAATTATGTTGTCCTTATCCGAAAAGTCATCAAAAAGTTCTTTGGCAACATCAAGCATGAATGCTTTGGGATACTCCCCAATCTGTGAATGTCTTTCCGTTTCTCACTATAGCTAAAGCGCCAGCAAAGCTAGCCGAATTCCAGTTACCTTATGGGTCCAAACACGGATTTTCTGCTGACTAGCTTGCACTCTTGATAGCAGTTCTTGACATGCTTTCTTCCTACTGTCTCCGGCAGGATATTTGCAAATGTAGAATGGCGTGTCTCGGAGTTTCGCTTTACATTTGATCGATACTCATCGTCTTTCTTTCTTTTAGCCATCTTGTCAAAAGGGTTTCTAAAATTAGTTAGCTGACAACGCGATTAAAACGAAAGTTTACTTTCTGATCCGAAGACAATCTGTTGTGTGGACTCTTTTGCACACGCACACATCGGTCGCTATTTTTGAAAGCAATATAGGGCAGACCCACTTGAACAATGTCAGATATGGACACAACGACATGTAGTTTTGCCACTTTTCTACAGAAATCACTGCGAACCGGCTTTCTAGTTCACGCGCTTTTCGTCACGTGCGTTAGTGTAGAGGTGGCTACTCTGCATGACTTGCATTTGGAGGTAAAGCAAGAGTTTTATGTAGAGCTTGTTTACAACACTTTCCTCGTGCGTGCACTCTGGTTGACCCCACGTGAGACACTACGTTCATAGATGGGCGTCGATTAGTCTTTTGATCTGTCGTGTTTATTGCCGACAGCAACTAAAAATAATTAATTTGTTCTTAGTGGTGTTTTGTCGAATGTTCGCGATTGTATTAGAAAAGTAAAGGCGTTTCTTGACGCGTCGGTAGACCCGCAATATAAATAAAGGTTTTCGGAGAGATGGACAGAGATTCAGAGAGATATTATTAACTTTAAGAGACAATTGTATTATTCTTTGTGTGCTTATATGTGTTTATTCGCATTGATCATTCATCATTATTAATTGGCACATTGTACTAGCAACTGTGTAACGGTACAAGATTTTCCAATACTCTGTAAGTTGATGATTTGTAATTATATTTCTTTTGTTTGTAATAGTATTATTACTATATTAAATCGTATTAATTGTAAAATGGTACTGTTTTGGGTGTCGTATTTTTGTTATTGTATTTCTATGGTATCGTCCTTTGTTAGGCACTGTTTGAGCGAGCCATACATTTAAAATAGGAGATTAATTTCTCACAATAGAAGCCAGTGCGTAAACAAAGAGTTATTTCCCTTTAATTACAATGAATGCAGGGTTGCTATTTTTCTGTCTTTTAGGTCAGCGAAGTTTATCTCCTTTAGCACTTCTGATGCTGAGCTGCAGTAGACTTTAGCTCGTTTGTAGAATGAAATATTGATATGCAATTAATATGTAGATCAAAGGAGTCTAAAGAAACATTTTTTTTTTAAAATAATCGAACATTTGTCTGCGAGCCAGATGCAGCCATCAATAGAGCCACATCTGGCTCGCGAGCCATAGGTTCCCGACCCCTACTATAGACTATAGATTAGTGGATGTGGTCGGCTAACTCATTAGTCAAAAGGGCAAAAAATCAGCAGCAGGACCATTATTATTTATTTTTTTTAGAGCCACATTTCTTTTCAAGAACCTTTCAAGAACCATTTTTGTCTGAGTCAAAGCCGATTTGTGGCTGACTCGTCAAGGCGCACTCAGATTGTTAAAGAGCCGCATGCGAGCCGCGATTTGCCGACAACTGCCATAGGTTAAGATAACTAGGTTTTTCCCGAAAGTATTCTAAAATTTCTTACATTTCCAAGTCTGAATGCTAACAAACATGACCGGGAAAGGCTTGTCTGGAGGGCAAGATTTTTTTTTAAAAAAGCATCATTTTGCTTTCCTTTTCGATTCTGTTGGCACTAAGTCTATTGCACTAGCTCAGCATCTAAGCATATGTGCTTGCATCAACAGGTATCAAGTGGCGACAATTATGTATGCGCATCCCAGAACATGAGAGAAGCAATACTCATAGGCTGTCATTTTGCAAAGACGAAAGTCTATTGGAGACATTAAGTAAAACAAAATTTGTCAAGTAGTTCAACATTATGAAATGTATCATTGATATTGTTCTATTCAATGGTCAACGGTGGCTTGCATTGCGTGGCTGTTCCCAGCGCACTAGTAAAAAAGACAATGGAAATTTTCTGGAAGTCGTAGAGTTGTCTCATTGGGATCCAGTTCTATAAGAACACGTGTCACAAAATAATGGAGAGCGACTTCAGTTAAGCTTTCTCAGTGTTGATTCCCGAAACGAGTTAATTGAATGCTCCTCACTTGTAAAGTAACATATTTTGAAGGACAGTAAAACTACAAAGTACTTCTATCTTATTGTTGATTCCATGCCCGATTGATTCCATGTTGAACAATTATTTTTTTTTTGCATTATGTAATACCATATGAAAACCAGTATGAAACTGTAAGTAAATTTTTACAGTTTGTGTACAAAAGCAATAAAACAGTATATGTCATAGTACAGATGATAGTACAAACATTGAAAAAAAACGATATTCCACTGACAGATACATGACAATGCAGCCAACATGGCA